GACCGAGCGAGCCCAGGTTGAAAGAGTTAATAAAGGAAATAGGAAAAATGGTTTAAACAAATCGAAGCTTGTAATGTGGGAGGATTAACTAAACTGAGGTTTCCACTTCACTCAAAAACTTCCAATAACAATTAAAACTATCTACAAGCACTACAGTCTAACATAAACAAGGTTTTAAACTAAAAATAAAAGTTTATAGGAGTTTCTACATAGAGATTAACTAAGAGTAGTCAAAAGTCTCTGATGAAAAGCCTAACCTATTGCATCAATCTTGATATCAGTTAATTTTCCTAGATAATATTTTGTAATATTTGTGGTAAGCTATTCCAATTATTGAAGAACTTTTCAAACTTCAAATTTAAATTATTCAAAATTTGAAGAAGCTATTCAAGCTCTTCTCCCAAAAGTTCATAAGCTAGGTATTTAAGTTAAAATAGGAACAGCCAGGGACTGGTAAAAAATAAAATGTTTAGATTATATTTTGCTACTCACCCCTGCGTATGTTTTGGTCATATTTCTCAGTTCTGCATTGTTACTTTTTGCCAGTTTTACTGCATAAGGTTTGGTTGCTGCACGAACTAAGTTGAAAACATTTACTGCTAGTTCAACATGTTTTCCAAGATTTAGAGTTAAGCGTCCCAAAGATCGCTTTTTGTGATCTTTTATTCGAACTCTACAAAGAAGAAAAAATCTAATCAATTCAAGTACAGATTAAAATGTTTTTAACCTTTATTATATAACATTTATTTCTAAGTGGATTATTTTCATAAAACATGCTTACAACATAATTTCCAAAGTGAAAATGAACCATTAAAGATAACAGAAGTCAGGTACCAAGAAATCATTTTAATAAGACTGAAACATAATCTCTGTTGTTGTTGTTTTATTCCACAAACACACTTCCTCTTGAATAAACACATACAAAACAGAAATATAGCAAATACACATATGAATAAAATTAACAACTAATTTCTTGTACTGCATTGGGGTAGTTTGGAATGTAAAGTGAAAATTTTGTAGTTAAGACACAAAAGTAAACAACTGGTTAAATATAAATAAGCAGCAAAATACATAATAACTACATTGAATGGACTGAATTTCACAAAATGTTGAAAATATTAATATGGAACTAGTAAGAGAAATGTTTCCACAACCTCATTAACTTGTAAGACATAATTTACATCACATATTAGATGTAGTACTTAGTACTTTTTTATTTTGGCTCAGGATCCATTTGGAAAAAATTGATGGCCAGTTGTGACCCAGTAAATAGCTTTAGTGAAGAAAAAAAAACCTAGTTAATAAATATGAATAAATTAAAAAAATAAATAAACTATTATCTATTTCAATACTTAAAAAAACATAGCAGATTTTTTTATTTCGAGAAGGTTTAATTTTATTACCATGCTTTCATATTTTCAGAAGGAAATGGAATTAATAAAAAACATAAACGAGATCATTTTATTTATGCCAACAATGACTGGATAACAGAGTGAATTTGGTTCCCAGTCTTTCTTCAGCTTTACAGGGTTAAACTTTTGGAAGCCTGTAGTAATGGGAAAAAGTTTGCAATTTAATCACCTTTAAAAAAAAAGACAATAAATTGTTTGTTTGTTTTTGAAAAGCTACACGAGGGCTATCTGTGCTAGCCGTCCTTAATTTAGGAGTGTAAAACTAGAAGGAAGGCAGCTAGTCATCACCACCCACCGCAAATTCTCGGGCTACTCTTTTACCAACGAATAGGTGATTGACCGTCACATTATAACGCCCCCACGGCTGAAAGGGCAAGTATGTTTGGTGTGACGGGGATTCGAACCCGTGATCCTCACATTGCGAGTCGAGCGCCTTATCCATCTGGCCATGTCAGGCCCAAAGACAATAAAAATTCGAAACTTATGAAAAGCTTGTGAAATAGGTAAAATATTGCATTATGTACTTTTTTTAGGCAAAAACATCAATTGCGGTATTTAGAACTGTGACAGTAAATTATGTCTAATATACATGATCAACATTTTCCTTTCAACCACAGAATAAGGTTTACTGTATCTGAAATTAAATTATTTTTGGCTTATTCAAACTTAAAAACAATTTACATTTAAATTTAATAATTCATATGTTTAGATATGAAAGGTGAAAAATTATTATTATGACCAAGAACAATCTCAGTGAATCAGCAATACTAACACTATTACTAGTTAACGATTTGACAAACAGGCCACAATAGTATCAAGATAAAACTCAGTTGTAATCAAACAGAATTAAAAGAAGTAATGAAGTCCATACAGTCAATACATATTCTTCTCATTTAAGAAATAAAACTGTATTTTTACAGTTGGAATACCTTTTCTAAGCTGGCAAAGAACAATTATAATTAATTACACTTGTCATAAAAGAGCATTAGGCCTATTAGGTTTTTAAAAAATACATTCTTTATGTAGTTCCCACTAGATTTTCGACAATTAGAAAAGTGTATTATAAGCAAGTATAAACAACTTCATTGGACCATTATTTCAGTCTATGTATCCACAAACTGTAGAACTACCAAGAAAACTTCACATGGATCCTATCAGCTTTATAGCCATATTTTTATAAACTATTTATGCACCACATTGTTTGCAAGTTCAGAAATTTGGTTACGGAATCCCTAATAACACGAGTCACACAAAAAATACAATCAATACTACAATTAATCTCACTAATCATTGCTGGATTCTGTTATGTATTTTACATAGAAAATGTTTTAAGAGTCAAAAACAAACAAACAAAAAATTGACACAAAGCTTTCACAAAGGAATATAATAACTTCTAGTGGAGGACAATTATTTCAATCTTGGGTTTAACAAAAAGTATTGCTATATGTAAACACAATTACAAAACCTTAATTGTTTTTATTTATCTGCACAGTTAATTGAGGATAATCTTATTAAAATGTTCAAACTTTGTCATTGCTACTGGGCTAAGAATGGTTTGCAAATTAATAACTGAAAACAAATTTGTAGTCTTTTTTTGTAAAGCATGTACAGATTTTCATGAAATCTACATTTTTTAACAACTGTTTCAGATATCATATTTTACTAGTTAAATTTAACATATCAATTTACAATTAGGAATATTTTAATAATTTTACTTTACCACATGACAATTTTCCATAATAATATATAAAGATATAATATAGTTGTTGCCTACATTACCATAACTTGTTCTTTCTCTTTATATATATATAGTATCATAATTTCCTTAAACACTGATACAAGAAATAAAAGCATCTCTAAGATACATTTTTTTATAGCTTATAATGTCCACATTACCCTTTCCAAGTTGTGGGTGGAACAACCTGACTTAACTTCATTGTTAAACATAATAAGTGCCCAAATACTAACAAAAAAAATGACTTACCGTGCAAAAATGTTGCTTGTAATTTAAGTTATTTTTTTAAAACTGTTTTTCTACACAGATTAAGTTCATCCAGATAGAATAAAATTTAAATTCAAGGTTCTTAAACACTTGGAATAACAAGCATTACTCCAAACACAAGCTAAACACATTTACATTAAAGTATTTCCTCTTCTGAAGTCAAATAACACCACATTTCTTGAAAACTGGTTCCTACTCATTACCAGAGTAAATTATAATTGGCATATTATTTGAAAACTATTACCGTTTTAAAAAATGTTTAGTGCCTAAAACAAAAACTACGCTATCTTATTTCTTTCATTTTTTTCTTAATTACCACAAACTTCGTTATCTTAAAATCATTCCTAAATACTGTATTCTTAAAAACTAGAGAAAAATGCCACTGAGATAACTCTCATAGAGTTCTGATCTAACTACCTTTTTAGCATAAAAAACTGTACTGACAAAATATTTTATATTTGGAAGGAAACTTTCTTTCCTTCTCCACACATTTCGTGCGTCATTTTTAAAATATCAATGGTAAAAATTATTACAACGAGAAGATTTATACATACCTCGCTAAAAGTTCTTCAATCTTTTCAGAAGCAGGAACTTTTTCATACTGTTCATCTTCTGATAAATACACTATATCCTTTAAAAAAAAAATTAAGCAAATTTGTGTCTAAAAATAAAGAGCATGAACATAAAGTGCAACTATTCAAACTTAATGACATATTTTAACATATTGCTACTCACCTTTAATTTGATTGCTGAATTGGTACCTGCCCAAAAGTGAACCTTTGGTTTATAATAAGATTGACAGGATTTTTATACAAAATACAAAGAAGTAATTTAGGCTTCAAATTATTAATATTAGGATGCATATGGACCCCAGAAATAATTAGTGGTATTAATTGTAATGTTGATCAAATTTTCGTTTAATCTTTCTTATTAACTTATATATTATTAGAGATCCCATAACCAAGAAATTTGTAAACCCATAAGCAATTTTGCATATAGATAGGTAGAAAAAACGTGTTTTGAATGCAAATAAGGACTACTGGTAATTAATTGTAGGTTTAAACCACTGGAATGTTTTTAATTGTAATTTCTATAATTGAATTAACTGAGGTTTTCAATTATATTTACTTCCTTTTCTGCAGGTGTTAAACTAGGGATCAGTTAGTGCTTTACATGCTTTTCTGCAGGTGTTAAACTAGGGATCATTTAGTGCTTTACATGCTTTTCTGCATGTGGTAAACTAGGGATCATTTAGTGCTTTACATGGTTTTCTGCATGTGGTAAACTAGGGATCATTTAGTGCTTTACATGGTTTCTGCATGTGGTAAACTAGGGATCATTTAGTGCTTTACATGCTTTTCTGCATGTGGTAAACAAGGGATCAGTTAGTGTTTATATGTTATCCTACAGGTATTAAACTGGGGATCATTTAGTGCTTTACATGCTTTTCTGCAGGTGTTAAACTAGGGATCAGTTAGTACTTTATATGCTGTCCTACAAGTATTAAGCTAGGGCTCATTTAGGGCTTTACATGTTTCTTTACAGATATTAAACTAGGATAATTTATTGTAAATCAGAATAAGTAATAATAAAAAGGAAAATCTTACTTTTACCTATATTATTTTAGCTATTTTCATCTGAAAATTCTATATGAGAAATCTTTCCAAGAGGAACATTCTAAGTCAATCTAAAAATGTACAAAATGCAATGTGATTGTCTATCTTACAGACTTCAACTCATTTTTTTTTATACACATAATATGAATTTTCAATACTGCAAGAGTGTACATATACTGTTCTGGATACGTTGGCTCTGATGAAACGTTACTTTTTTGTAGCTTGACGGATCAAAGAACTTATTCATTGTTTCATTAGGAAGTTGTATTGTGTCCTCCTTGACCTTCTGTTTGTGGGGGGTATCTTACAACTGTCACTTGGAGCAGAGATATTTCCACATTTTGATGCATTTTTTCCAACAGGTCAGTCACAGAAAGAATGTGTCTCTTATATGGAGGTTAGCACTTATAGAGATTCATTCTGACCTCTAAGGATAGTAGACTCCTTTCTTTCCTAAAAGAGCTACAAGTTGCCAGTTAAGTTTTGTTCATATTTTAATCTTTCATCCATCTTTTCTGCTGATTATGCAGGTTAACTTCCTTCAATCTTTACATTCAATTCTATTTAACTTTAATTTCATCTTGTCAACCTGGAAGACAAGCAATAAAATTCTATACTTGGAATGTGAAATAAACAACAGTTTGTTGTGTTTGTCAAATGTATATTTCTTCTCTTCTGCACTTATTCTCACATTAACATTCCATCCAACCAAATCTTCATATTTCTTATTACATAGGGGTAGTTTACCCATCTGACACTATTCTTCTAAGCCAAAAATACCACACTGTTTCTCTTGATTTTGTGTATTGATCCAAAGTCAAGGAATGTTTTGTTTTCACTTTCATCAACTGGAACATCTACATCAACACTTAGCATATTATTATCAAAATGTTAATTTCTTTATATTTAAAATTAAATCACAGACAACACTAAAATATCATCCTTCCAAAGAGTGCTTCATTTTTGTACTTGTCTTGGAATACCAGCAGTAAACATCTGTTGAAATTTTGAATAGTTAAGCTCAAAAGAAAAACTATTAACATTAAAAATATATTCAAATCCGTCTTTCTTTTCACAAAAACCTGTACATCACTGCCATGACTTGAGGCCTAAACAATCACCTAAGCCTAAATAGTAATTAATTACTAAATAGTTTTATCATACATTCTCACTGATAATCTGCCACTGTGTTCGTGGAATGGCAGAATTTGATTCTTTATCTTCTCAGTAGAGAAGCTGGTGTGTTATCTAATCATTGTCTTTGTGGAATGCCAGGATTCTATTCTGGGTCTTCTCAACAGAAAGAATGGTGTGTTGTCTACTCATCTGGAATCTTCCCATTTAGGAATGTATGTTAAGTTGACTGAATGCATTCAAGAAAGTTATCCAGGTTTTGCTGACTTTTATGCTATGTTGGACGAGTTTGTTATCAGCTAAGAGGATGTAGAAGGCTTCTTTACTATTTCTTATTTCAATGTGTAGCACGATGGGCTGTTGCAGATTGATTGATATTAGAGAGTCTTGTATGTCTATTATGCCAGTAATTAAAATACAATTAGGAACTAATTAATAATGAGACTTATTGATCATTTGGGTTGCAAACCATGACACTGATCAATCATCACAATCTTACTGTAAGTACTTAAAAACCTGTATCATATGTTGACTTACTTGATAGAATTCTGTGATGTCAAAGCTGACTCCTGGTTTCTTTATGTGAAGCAAATCAATCTCAATGCCTAAATCAAATAAATCTTTAGCTCTGATTTTTGCCTGCTGTTGAAGCTGCTTGTTCTCAGCATGAGGATTGTCAGTGTTAGTAAACAGCAGCACCCTCTTATGACTCAGATTCGTTTTACTGAAATAATAAAGGTTGTAATTTCACAAAAGTATTTCATACTGCTTAGATTCACAGTACATTAATTTGCTGCAATTACTTAAGTCACTTTACAACCTTATGGTAACTGCTATTTCTTTTTTAAAAACTTGCATAGAAAACTAAAAATGTAAACAGAACATACTTCAGTAGACTGCTTGGCAAAGTGCAGTACTCTAACGTACTGTATAACTACAGAAAATTATTTTGGAGAGTTTCATATTTAATTTCAAGGTGTAAGAAAAATTAAATTACATACGTGTTTCCTCTAATACCTTTTACATATCAATAAATCTTACTGAGCATCTATATTAAAAGACTTGTCACAAAAGTTAATCTATTTTCTAATCATTCCAAATACACCGATTTCTGATTTGATCTAAATATACTCAAGTGCGTTTTACTGTTCTTTTAATCCTGAAATTCCTGCTGCTATGAACATCATTAAAAACTGTCACAAACAATGAACTGAATGGGGTTTTATGAACTTCAAAATTAAAATTCTAAAGAGAAGTGGTCATTTATTCCACTCACAATAATCAGCCTGTTTATGTAAGTACACGTGTTTTGAAGAATAATAAAAAGAAAGGTGTACGTGTAAAAACAAACTGATTTTAAGCCTAAAAATCTTAATAACTTGTTTCCAGAGCTTCTTTAGAAGTGCTAATAATCCTGGAGATGAAGCTAACAGATATGATATTTTAAGAACTGATTATGAAACACAAATTTTGGCATTAAGAAAACAAATGAAGCTTACAATACAATCTGAAATGCTATTGGTTAAACTCCAGACTAATCAAACTACACAAAGAGCATGTGTTCTATTTTATTGAAAAATCAGGTATTTTACTGTATCATATACATCTAGTGATGAGTGAAAAACGTCTTATTTTGTACCAAGAAGTTAACATAAAGGTTTCTTTTAAGAGATTTCTTTAAAAAGGACCAAAGTTTTTATAAAATGTGTAATCTTTGTATTAATTTAATTAAAATATGACATTACAATGAAGGATTTATCTTTAGTCAATTATTTTTTTATACTTTGTCTCAGTGCTATATGTTTCTTGTTTTGTCTGAGAGATAATGGTTTAAGTTTCGGCAATATGTATGAAGTACCTACAACAGGTTCCCAAAGTTCAATAATTCTCAGTTGTTTTTGTTACAAAAAATAAATCAATTACTCACCAGTTTGAAAAAACTGTAGAACATGTCCAGAGTGCATCAGAAAGGGAAAAATTGTTGCTGTGTCCAAATTTGTCTTTAAATGTCTTGATGTCATCTATTAGTAAAGTTTTATATCAATCACCAAGTGAACTTTTTATTAAACTAAATATATTAAAAAGCAAGTTTTAATTTGGAATTCAAATACATTTTTATTTCCAATCTAACACTGCATTTCATTAACTACTTCATAAGCAAGGTGTAGTTGTAGTAATATGTCGAAAATTAGACATGTGACGTGAAGGAGATTTGATATAAGATTCAACAAAGAAAGATCAATAATTATCTAATATAAACAACAAGTCAAAAGATGAGTGCACACAGAATGTTGCATTATGCTTTTAGATTTATAAAAAAAAAGAGAAGTTTGAATTTTATATAATTTATAAACATTCCTCTCTTAAACTGAGAGAGAATGACATTAGACGCACTATGTATGAGCAATAACATCGCTCTCAGAGTGCAGGTACTACCAATGCCACTGGTTGTTTCAACTGAAAGCAGGAAGTTTTTTTAACCTCCAGGGATTTCTAAACTCGGGTTATGTCACCAACGAAAGTAAATACAAGATCTGAAAATAAATCCACAATATCACCATATAAGTGGGACACACGCCTTGACCACGTGTACCTTGCACGTGAAATAAGATGAGAGTACAACACAAGATGGATTTCCTATATGTGAAAGTCTATTAGAAGTGTTTCAAAAAATACACCTACATATGTATGTATATATATATGTATATAAATTTAATTTCAGGAACCTAAGAAACTTCCCTTTGTAAACAAAGATAAAAAGAAAATATAATAGTTTTTAAAATACAACTTAATAACTTACACATACAAAACTTAACTTACATGTACAATCCTAAGTATAATTTATTAAAATAAGTTTTTCACTAATACTGTCTGGTTACAAGCTGTGACTGGTTATATTAAAAACTGTTATTGGAAAGTGTCCTTCTAGTTACACTACTGTATAATTGTCTTCTTAATTAAATTTTACTTGAATAGGTATTATGGCACATTTGCAAATACTGAGTATTCGGGAATTCATTAACAAAATTGGTTTTCAAATTTTTTTCCTAAAGTTCACTGTGGCCAACAAATTTTGTAACCAATGGCATTAATTCTTTCTGGACCAAGAGAGTGTGATTGAGACTCGCCAATTTTTTCGTTCTCATACTGGAAATATCATAAATCTTAATAAAAACTTGTTAAATAGTACGTTGTTTTGGCTTTCTTTTTTCTATCATTTTTTATGCTACGAAATTTACAAAATGGTGTGAAGAGACATTAGTTTGAAGAAGAATAAAAAATACTACCTTTCATCTTCAAATTTCAACTGATATCTGATCTGAAAATTCCATTTGATATTCATTAAAATATTTCTTTATTTTGCCAATTGCAGTAGTCATTAATTCCAGCTGTAAATTGGTAAATACATAATGAAAACTGACAAAGATTTATCAGTGACCTATAGCCAATCATGTCATAAGGCATCAGATTATGCTAAGCAACAATATTCTTGGCCGAGATCAAATTATATGTAATAAAATAGGTATTTTCCCAATGAATAATACATTATTTTACTTATCCACATTACTTGAATATGATAAACTTTACAATATTATTAAATACATAAGGATTTGAGTTTCTCATATTTTTTGCTGTTGCCCACCATTTTATACAAACCTAACTAGGCCTACCTGCTTGTAATTACCTTGTTCTCCACAAATTATATGTAATAAAATAGTTATTTTCCCAATAAATAATACATTATTTTACTTATCCACATTACTTGAATATGATAAACTTTATAATATAATTAAATATATAAGGATTTGAGTTTCTCATGTTTTTTGCTGTTGCCCACTGTTTTATACAAACCTAACTAGGCCTACCTGCTTGTAATTACCTTGTTCTCCACAGGAGCTACATGTAATCACTTTCCTATACAATTATAAATTTTCTTTCACACCACTTTATTGATTCTACATTGGCTTAAATAGTTTATATGTTCTGTCCAATGGTATTTAAACTTTGTCTGTAGCTGTTTTCAAAGCTCAGCTTCTTTAGTAGTTGTTCATATCATATGCTGTGAGGTCATAAAAGGTGGAAAGATAGGTTGTATTAATAAATTCAGAGAAGGAAGATTCTGTTCGAACAAAACCTTGTGAATTATACTGTCAAGAGATGATAGTTTCATAGCAAATATAAACCTATGCTTTAGGATAGGTGGAAATTTTTTAAATGAACTTATGGGTGTGATTCCTCAGAGCTGTGTAGAAATGCAAGTTTGAAAGTGAATGTTCTTTTTCTTTGTGAATTATATTAAATAATTGCTTCAAAATTAAAAAAAAATATAAATTCCAACATATTTTAGTAAAAGAACTGTTGAAATAGAATTAAAATTAGCATTTTTACATAAAGTTTGAAATTTGATATGCAGATGAACACTTGACACCTGTCAGGAGCTCATTAGTCCAGACAGTTATACAAACGTTTTTAAAGTTAATAAATACAACAGAACTTTACATTTGGTAACAGATATTTTTTTGATTCACTTTACTATTTTATATCCTAATATGAAAATATACGAGTTAGGCTGAAGAGTGTTTGTGTGTGTGTGTTTTTGGGCTATCTGCTGTGTCCATCGAGGGGAGTCAAACCCCTGATTTTAGCATGGTGAATCCGAAGACTTATCACTATTCCACTGGGGGACGGCTGAAGAGAGTTGACATTTTGAACCTGTAGTTCTCAGTTGTTCATGGTACAAGTTTCTTATATTACGTGAGGTTGTATCTCTTTAGATTAAAACTTACTCCAGGAAGCTGTGAAGGAAACTCAAAAAAAAAAGAAAGAAAAGTACATAACAAAACTATAACAGGATATATCTTTGTAAGTAGCTAATCGCCTTATGATTTTTAAAATTTCACCGTAGTAGAGTGCGCAGTATAATTTAACTTAATTTTGTCAATAAAAATTAAGGTAAATTATACTAAACCAAAGCCTCATCCATAGAGACAAAAAAGTGGTAGAACATATGAAGCAAGTGGTAAAGAATAGGAAATATAAGAAAAAATATAGTTTGGTTTGTTTGGAATTTCTTGCAAAGCTACACAAGAACTATCTGAGCTGGCCGATCTTAATTTAGCAATGAAAGGCTAGAGGGAGGGCAGCTAGTCACGACCACCCACTGCCAACTCTTGGGCTACTCTTTTACTAATGAACAGTGGGATTGACCATCACATTATAATGCTCCCACAACTAAAAGAGTGAGCATGTTTGGTAGGATTGGAATTTGAACCAGTGGAAAAAAGTATAAACTCTCTATTAATTAAAGGATATATGTAAACCTTTCTTTTAGTCAGACTCAACTGACCTCAATATTTTATCTTTGGGAGAATCATTTTCATGACAAAGAGAATACTCTACAGTGAAAACCGTGTTCTGACAATGAAGAAAACAAAAACAAAAGAGAATATAAAATACGTCACATCTAACCAAGGTAGCAAACTTTAGTGAGCAACTTCATTACTCCACTATGAACTGAACTTGTACTGATATCATTTTTTTAATATAGTTACATGATCAAAATTTACCAAAAATACTTTAAGTGAAGACAATGAGGTAAAATGGGGGAAAGTAGTTTTATACCATGAACATTATTGTGACATGAGAAATTTTTTCTTAAATGAATCATGAATTTTTTGTTTACTATTAGTTACAAAATCTGTGCATTATCAAATGGTTAGCCTGATATTAAAAAAATCTCCTTAAGCTTTACATACTATATTGCAGCAGTTCTATGACCTGAAGGAGATCCATGGAAAACAATTGAATAATTACAGAAAGGAAGTGGCAGCATAGCATATAGATCCCACTATGATCCACTGAGATAAAGAAAAAAGGAATAAATCGGGAGGTTCATGAATGAAAAAGTTTGAGAACCATTGTTATGTGGCACACATAGCTTTTTTAATAATAATAATAAAACAAAAACCAATATAAATCAAAATATGTCCACATTAACATTAAATGCCCTAGTTAACTCTGCCACTGAAGGTGGATGGAGTTGTGCTTTCAACTCCGTGTATGTGTTTGTAAGTAAGATTTCTCGAAAACGATTGTGTCAGAAACTTACTTTTTAAGTAGGTTATGTGTTATATATAGTGATGTAAATATATGGGCTAAGGATTCTTCTACAATAGGTGTCTGTCACTTGTTGGTGATAAATTCGACAATAAACAAACAGCACGCACACCACTTGTTTTTAAAATAATATATATATATTCAAAACAAGTTAAACGTATGTACAAATATTCTGCACGCTATCATAGTTGTATCTTAAATACTATACAGTTTCTTCTTCTTGTCAAAATTATAAATAGCCAATTCAATTGCTTTAGAATGCTGTTGACAAGCCAAACTATTTCTATTTCTATTGCAATAGTATCAGTGTATAGTTCACTTATGTTGTCATTAAGTTACCGCAGTTGTCTCCTATACTTCCAATAATCATCTGCTTTTTCATCAAAGCCCACACATGTGGGTTCAATTAGCTAAGAATACCCTTTGACAAGACAAATTATTCTCCTTATCTCTTTCAAACTATTAATCTCACTCTAACGTATCAACCATTAGGCCTTTCACTCCTACGACAGTTAACTTTGTATTTTTTAACATTTCTCTCCCCGAACTTCTCTTTCCTGTGACATTACTTTTAACTCTCTCCTTCTGCTCGTCTGGTCGCTGTTATCTATACATCTATCACTTAGGCCTTCTAGAAATCTCCGTAGCCTCAACATCAATGGATTGCAAACATTGTTCGATAGCCTCGACAACACACTGTTACGTGAGTTATTGCAGTTGTATCATCTGCTTTTTGTTCTTCCAATATTCATCTGCTCTTTGTACTTCCAATAATCCCCTACCATTTGTCAAAGTCCACACAGGCAAGTTCAATTAGTTTAGAACACCCTTTGATGAGACAAATTATTCTCCTTATCACCTTTCCAAGTGTTAATTTCACTCTAACATATCAACCATTAGGCCATACCCTCCTATGAAGGTTAACTTACCCTTTTCTAACTTTTCTCTGGTCGAATTTCTCTTTCTCGTGACTTCACTCTAAATCTCTGTTTCTGCTCATCTGGTCGCAGTTATTTATATGTCTATCACTTAGACCTTCTAGAAATCTCTACAGTCTCGTCATAAGTGGATTACAAACACAACATTCGATAGCCTCGACATCAATGAAGTACAAATATAAAATCAATTAATTAATAATACCGCACTAAACAGCCTTTTATATCTGACAAACTGAATGAATTTGGACAAAAGTTGGTATGATTAGTTTTGGAGGGTCAAGGTCACAAAAACCCCAAAAACCTCTATCTGTTAACATGGGGACTGATTTTTCACACTATTTTTGCTCTATAACTCAGTCAAAATTATCATATTTTGATGAAATTTGGTGGAAATACGTCATATATTATTCTTCATTGTTCTATCAAATATGGTCCATGTATGTTGAAAACAACGAACATACAGACACATTTTCATATTTTTTGAGAACCGAATATGAACAATGCTATATGTTGGAGATATGTGTTCTACTCAGAGCTTCTGTAGTTCTGTAGAGTTTACAGTCAGGTCTAATCTAGTTTTAGTACAATAAAAGAAATACCTACATATCAAATGCTCATATAAGCAGATGACAAATCATAACTAGAGCAATACAGTAACTGCATACGCAAGTTCAATAACATACCCAGCACTCGAGTTTTGAAAGGTTAACAAGGGGGTACTCCTGAAATCTACTCACAGATGTATGTTCCCATAACTTGGCATTTGACAGTTTCAGTTTTCTTTCCATTAACAAGAAAAATTTGTTCCCTTCTGTTCTCCTTCAATTCGATCAGTGCATATACCCATTAAAACAAATTACAACTCACCTTTAATATTTTTGTGAATACATACTGTAACATAAGATACAGTAGCATACATAATTCAGTGAAAACCTGTTTTTATATTACACTCTAAAGCACTGATCTATCCATACAAAAATTAATACTACAAATCATTTTACTTACCATCAAGAAGTTCTTCAACTTCCAAAATCCTCTCACGTCCAGGTTGATCTAAATCTTGAAACACATAGATGTGCTTGAATTCGTTGGGGTTTTTGTCTTTTTCCTAATAAATATATTTTCAAGAGCTACATAATTTTTTAAAGCAAGCAACAGTACAATACTAGTCATTAGCACTGTAAAGTAAACTGATAAAGACACTGTTTTGAACTGATTCTTTATTTTAGCTCAAATGAGTATTTAAAGGAAGCAGGCAATTCTACGAATCTTTATATCCAGTTTTAAAATAAACTAACTCACATTTCACTTTACTCAGGTATTTGCTATGCTCAGACTATATTAAATGTTTAAATGTCTGGTTTTAAAATTCAGTTTAATCAAAGAAGATATTTCTTAATTCTTATAAGTTTAATAAAAACTGCAGATTATGTATCAAACATTTCGATGGGAAAAATCTTTCATTTTGGATAGTGCAAAAAGCTTCATCCGTCTGCAGTAGTTTGGAGGTGAAACTTTGAACTACTAGCAGAGATCTTCATCATGTTAGTGTAGAAAGGTTAATTAGTGGAACACAAATGCCAATGTGTATAGAACCTCACCCTTCTCATCCCAGCTGCACTCCGTTATTCACTCCAATATCCCTATCTTTACTTAATGATGATCAAGAATGGCAGTTAAAAATAATGTGTCCAAAACACAACATTTGGATTAAGTTCACTATATTACCCATAAAAGTACTATTACTGGCAAGAAAGCAAATCACACTTATCTACTGCCTAGTAAATTTTAGAGAGAACACATGAGTACAGTTTCATCTTGGTTGAATGAGCTGTAGTGTGATCAACATGAGAAATATGTGAAATAAACCACAGTGGTGCCCCTCTTGGCAAAATGTGACAATTTTGGCATTTAAACCTTTATGATACTCTTAATATCGCTGTGCAATTTTCTTATGCAACACCCATTATGAGATAGGGTGCACTAAACTGTGAAACTTTCTTTATAACCATCCTGCATTCTTAGAAAAATATAAGAACGGATAATCATTTCGTTCATTTGTATATGTTTCTAATAACCCTCAACAGATCTGTAATAAAAAAACGATTATAATAACAAGTGTATGTGGCTATCAGAGTAGAAAAGTGCACAGTAAGAATATGCCCAAAATGTATATATATATATATAAATAAATAGCTCTAATAAACAGATTTTAAGAACTACTAAGGAAGGTTTTTAGTTCTGTTTAACATCGTTTTGTAAATAAAAGGATGGAGGTTGAGAGTTTTACCTTGTAGAATTTTTAGGGTTATATTATTTCTACTTTAAGGGTATTTCTGAGTATTAAGGGTAACTGCCTTTCCACAACTAGCTGCAGACAGCAAAAGTCAGTAAGAGTTGAGGTATTGTGGGTGTAAGCACTTGACTCCACACCCGTAACTGATTTTCAAAAGCTGCTGACTTTTTTAACATCGGTGTCTGGATTTTGTTTGATATATGGAATATCCCCAAAGCATTTGGGTGTTATGACTTAATGATGACATCTAGGACTAATAATGGATAATAATTGTTTAATTTTAGTTTTATTGTAATGTTTGTTATATATATATATAAAGCTTAATTAATTCAACAGGAAAGCCCTCAATTGCCTATGTTCTCAGGTTGGTAGGTCTAGGGCTAACACGGTGAAATGTGGGTACTCCAGTACACCAACTGCCTGTAACTGTGGTGAGAGGCAAATAATGCAGCATCTACTCGTCTGCCCACAGCTCCAGGTCCCACTCACAGTAAAAGACCTCACTATAGCCAGTGAAAATGCAATCAGATGTACATATCACTGGATGGAAACCATATAAGGATGTGTGGACATAACAAGAAGATGAGTTCAATATTTAACAGAAAACATATTAATTGACACAGCACACAGTTAAATCAATAGAGACAAGAGAGAGAAGAAACTGATAACCATGGTTTACATCCCAACATTTAATGACAGTACATAAAGTTTTGAATTTTCTTCATATATTATTCACAACAGAATCATCATATCTTGTACACAGCTAACTAGAAAAATAAATAAAAGAAAAAGGGGACTACTGTAAACAAAAAAACTGGCTTGAATCATCACTTTTTTTACTTGATGGGTCTATAGTGATATCTTATTATGTACTTCTTTATAATCTTTTTTGCAAAATCTATAGTGTACTTACACACAGACAACATGTGTTATTAAAAATTAAAAATGCAAATATGTAAGCCTATTATAACAAGTATATATTACTACTTTACCTATATTCATGGCATATATCGCTTGTTCCAGTTTACTTGGGCTCAAAAATAAGTCCTTATTCAGAATTCAGGTATTTGTTCACCTGAAACTTTGTCTTACTAATCTGTTAACTTTTTGGATTGGGTATACTTATGTATTCAAAACGTTTTTTATAAGGTGCCATACAAAAGATAGATCAGAAAATCACATGGTTGGGGTTGGTGAAAAACTAATCAATGGAACTGTACGATGGTTGGATGAGAATTATTAAAGGAGTACTGTCAAACTGAACGCATGTTATTAATTGAGTACTTCGGGGGCCAAAACATGAACCTTTGATCTTTCTTATTTATATTAATGATATTGATAGGGAAAGATTAACAAATAACCAAAATTTGCAGATAGCATTAAACTCTTGAGTATTTCTCATTACATTGAGTATACTAGAGTACAAAAGAATGACTTGGATCAATTGGTAAGTAAGAGAAATAGCTAGCAAATAGATTTTAATTAATGTTAAATACAAGGTAATGTTTTGGATCTCCTAATTTGAGCTTTACATTTATATTGACAAGATTTTACTCAACAGCATAACTGACGAAAAGGAACTTGACATAATGTTACATCTCAAACCATCGAAGCAGTGCTTTGTTGCTTATAGTAAAGCAAAAAGGATTCCAGGATTTATTTACAGACACGCTGATTAAAAGTCAAAGGAAGTGATTATTTATTTATACGTATCACCAATTAGGCTTCAGTTGGAATGCTGTATGCAGTTTTGGTCTCATAAAGGATAATGACATACTGAAGAGGGTTCAGAGGAAGGCTAATAAAATGATTCTAAAAGTGGAAAGGTTAATATCTTTTATTTTCTATTTAAAAAAAAGTAAAAGGTGATCTTACTGAAGTTTACAAGATTATCTCACAGCTTGATAGAGTAAGATGACACAAGTTTAAGATCTGAAAAAAGATAGGATAAGCTTCTCCAGTTAAGACAGTTATTTCTAACACTATTTATTTGATGGAAAGAATAGGCAGTGGCAGTAATGGAGGTCAGGAATGTTATAATTATAGAGGGCAGCAATGATCGGAATAGCTAATCTTGTGAGAGGAGGGAAGTACCATATCAGACTTTATAGGAAGAATACAGAATTTCCTGAAAAATAAAGGGTGTATTTAAATTTTTACTTTCTTAAGGGATGGAGATACAGCAAAAGGCTTGAAGGACTAAATAGTTTTTAGTTGTCTAAACTGTTGTTACTAAAAAATGGCACAATAAAAATCTATCTTTAATTAGTTTTAGCCCTTAAGACAGTGTGTGTGGGCTATACTAGAATAATAATGCATCTTTATTTTAAGCCTTATCTTACACTAATTACCTCCCCATTCAAAGTTTACATGGTCATTCAGGTTCTATATATGCTTGTTAGGATCTTTGTATTATCTTTCCTGCCTTGATGTATAGTTCATACCCAAATAGAAGGGCAATGTAGAGGTTTGTATAAACTACCATAATTTGGTAGTAATAGGACTGTGGAATACTGCATCCTGATTTAAAAGTCTGATATCAATACAATCTCGTAAGTTTGTCTTATTCTTTGATAGCCAAAAATCTCCAACATTTAACATCCAAGCCAACTGGTTTTAGTTAGAAAACTGCCTACCTAAGTGTTTAAAAACAATAGACATCTTGTCAAATTTAATGAATATCATTTTGTTGAATTGATGGGTCACCTCTTCACCTTTCTCAGTATTTCTACTTTTTGTGTGTTCACATTATTCTTCTTCAAGCAAACCTTTTTGACCTTCACTCAATGAAACTTAAACCACATATGTCTTCCTCCAAGTCAAAAATTGTTACAAAGAAACCCAAACATGAAAAATACTAACCTTGTTTCACTGAGAAACCAATACGTTGAAACTAAAACTAAAAAAAATCAGCTAATATATATCAAACATCAATTAATTAACAATTTAAAGAAACTTTTTTAGTTTAACTTTATTAGAAACATAGTCAATGCATTTCCAGCAAAATAGAATTAAATTAATAACAAATTTATATACAAAATAGTACTTACAGAGCCAAAAAAAATAACTCCAATTAAATCTTTTTCACTACTGATGATCTTGTTTTCTAATGTTGTCTTCAAACACTAAAATAAAATTTAAAAAACAAAAAAACAGTCATCATTGTTAACATTTTTTAAACCTAGATTCCAAATAATGAACACCAAATATTTCATCAGTAATGCAGTTTACCTTACTGTGTTTATCTTAGAATGACACAGCTGAATGTTTCACTCTAAACTTCAGTTATTTAAGAGCCCCTAAAGTTTGAAATGTAGGTTGCAACTACAATGCAAACTTCTATGTAAAACTTCCAAAATAAATAATCAAGTGTATGCATTTACATGATTTCTGTATTGCAAAAAGTTTCCAGGACTTGAAATATTTTTGAAACACATTAAACTGAAACATTTGTTTTTATAAGCCTCTAAATACTACCTTAACAGAAATTAGATTTCTATCAAAGATTTTCTATTCAAAGTGACTGAATGTGCTTTTATTCTGTTCTCATAAACACAACTGAATAACATACAGTTATTTCACAAAGAACTGGAAATTCACATCCAAATAAGTTTAAAGTCTTATGTCAGTTTCTGCATGCACATTCTTATTAAGAACTTGTTTTCAATTCTCTTTCAAGAGTTTGGTTCAAAACAAGTCATGTCATCCTTTATTGTACAGGTTCCCAGTAAGAGAAAATAATTATCTGTATTATTACAATACTAACTGCAACTTGCAAAACATTTGCAGTAGTTTTCATGTTCTTTGTTTGAATTTTCCTTACTCTACCATTTTCCAAAATGCCATTTAAGCTATGCTTTCTTACAGGCTTTGTGTGTTAGATCGGAAAATCCTGATCTATTTGAAAATATTTTAAGCACTCAGACAAACAAACTTACATAGACAAAACTTTATTTAATAAAACTGCACGTAAAGTAAACAATTATGGTATTTATAATAGTGTATAGAGTATGAAACAATGATGAGCGTTCAGTGTCTGACAAGGTTTTATGAGTTGAAACAACAACAAAAAAGAATAAAACCCATAGTAAATAAAAAAGATAAAACGTGTCTATAGCAGTCTGTGAAACCAACCAAAGATAAATTATTGCAAATTAAAGTAAATGTAAAGTTGTAATGAAGGTAAACTTAGCTGAACATGCAGAAACATCTGAATTTGTGTTCACAAAGTGATAAGCATATGGTTTTGAACAAACTTTGCATGTATATTTGTAGGCCTAAATAATTCAAGAAAGCCCATAGAAATAGAATTTAGTGAATTGTTAATTTTTTTTAGGAAATTACATGTACGTTAAGTGTTGTTTGTGTGAAATACTTTGTAAATAAAAAAACTAAACTTGAAATTGAATCCAGTTGTAACGTGATGACAATAACATTGCACCATTGAGTAGCATACTCATTGCATTAAAAAGTTTGACAAAGAAAAAAAACAAGTAAGGTGATTCTGAATGGAAAAGCCAATATACAAACTGAACTCCTCAGACAAAGACCTTTCTAACAGTAAGTGATTTGCTGCATTTGATCAAGACATTTGCAAGAAAGTTCTGGATAGACAAATGCAAGAGTATTATTTATACAGATATCACACAATTATTATTATTAAACATCACTGGCTAAGGAAAATATTCAAGTTTCACCATCAAGTCTTAGTCATTGTTATATTTTAAACTCTACTCTCTATGAAGAAAAGCACACAATTGAAATACAAAAGTGGCACAGTCATTGTTTATTGATGGTAGATAGTTGTGTAAATAAACTTAACAGACTACTTAAAAAAATCTACAAGTATGTTTCACTATTTTTAAAGTGCTATAACTTTAATATGAAAACATTATGTTTTCTTAATATAAACCAGGTTACTGGATAATCTTGACATTACTGAAATAGCTATTTCCATACAAAATAAAAAAGTAACTTTTTATCTCATACTACTATTACTACATTATATTTAGTCTCACAACTATAGTTAAAAAATTTAACATATTCCTAAACTGAAAATGTATTTCCAATAATATTTACCTCCGCTGACACTTATAGCTATTACTCGACCATCAGGGCTTCTTCTCTGCTCATCTAAACTGAGACTGATACCATCTCAATCTCTAACACCAGCTCTTAGTGGGAAGGAAGGGCAGGACAGTGTCAGCGGAGGTAAATATTATTAGAAATACCTTTCCAATTTAGGAAAATGTTAACTTCCAAAACATAGTTATCTCTGCTGCCATTTATAGCTAGAATCACACATTGAGAAGGTGGAAAGGCCAGTGAGGGCATTATCTATACAGAAAGCATCTGCATAGATCATGAGTGTACCAAGATAAGAATGGTACCCAAGTGGGGGAACTGCACTACATCCAGAACAAGTATGCTCTTCCCTCTGAACTTAGTTCTCGTATCATGGGTGAAGCTGTACATGAGCGATCATCACTATAGGCCAGCCTCAACCGGATAGCCGAGGCTCCACTACTCAGGGTTGGAATTAAGGAGTCTTGGTCCCTATATCCCACATTGGGGCAATGGGGCCGCAACTTTATCTATAGATATACTTTAAATTGGATCCCAACCTGTAGCGATAGAGTGATGCATTCCGAACCACCAGAATCCCAACGAGAAAGTAAGCAACACTGAAGTGGACAAACCTTCTCTTCCACCTGAAGAAGCCCAAAAGGCAACACAACCCAGGTTGGGAATGACGCGGTTGTGTATGCCTTACTCAACCAAAGGAACAAAACTGGTGGGTAATTATGAACCTTCATCCTCACTCCCCCCAACTGAGTGGACAAGGAGCCTTCCACTTGCCCCCCCAAATTATGGGGAGGGTGTGAAACAACTGTGCTCAACCAAGGACCCAGGTAAGGACCACTTAGTGTTTGGAATTAATGAGGAGATAGTGGACCTCCTTCCATGAACAATATACTGAACTGATATTGATAAAAAAAGGGTCATGCACACGCCAGCCAGAAAGCCGAGCATCAAATCTGAACCAGAATTACAAGTAGGCTGGTGCCGCCACTATAGACATCTGGTAAAAAACATCCAGGGGCCTGGTAGGAGGGCTCCCAACTTCCCCTCTTCTCCAATTCACTCTAACACTCTGGAGGAAAACCTCTAATCCTGTCTAAATGAATTTCGATTTGAGGGTAGGCTGGTTGAGAGCCTGATGAGTAATAAAATCAAAATGGGCATACACGCACACCCCATGCTTGGTATTGCTGGCACACAAAAATATAACTAATAAAAAGGAAAAAAAAAAAAAGGTCTCACAGATTAATTCATTCTAATCATGCCTAAGAGAATTTCAAGTGCCACAGCTATTAAGGATTCCCTCTTGTTTTTACTAGAAACTTATTCAACATACCTTGCCACAGTTTTTCTTAACTGTAAAAAACAGATGTAGAACATTACAGAACATCAACAAACAATTCTATGCTTCTTATTACTCATAACTGCAAAGTGAAAAGGTTTTTCAAGTGCAATAAATGGAATTTATGTGGATGTAGCCATGATGGGATAGCCATTAAAAGAAAGCTAAAGGAAAAGATGGTAAGAGAGATTCCACCCCTCCCCAAAAAACAGAGAAAAGAAAGAAAGCTTGTGTTTCGAAAGCCAAAACTGCTAATGTCTAGAACCTTGAACATGGTGACTCAAGTGTTTATGTTGAAATTTTTAATCCACTGGCTGATAACAATGTCAAGCCATTGAATATGCTTTGGATGGACACCTGGGATTGTAGTTAAGAAATTACAGACTACAATTAAAACATTGTGTGAATATGCTTCAAAGATAAGCAAAATATCAAAGATTCTTTGGATTACCCAGTGAACATTTGAAAAAAAGTTCATGAACTGGAGGAGTTTTTTTTTAAGATAAATCTACTAAGCAATCCAGAGAAATTAATTTTATGTTGTAAAACAAAACTAAAAGTCTCATACAAAATATTAAATGTGAAGTTGTTTCAAAGAAATATTCCACTGAAAATCTATCACTGTGTTGTGTCAGTTGATATTGTGAACTACAAACACTTCTCAATATTTAGTGAAGATATTAAACTGGTGGTCAAGACTTTCAAAATTTGCTTGTAAGTGAAACACTGCACCCAGTTATTCATACTATGCAGAGCTATGATGTGAAACTACTGAAGACAAAGCTGCCTTAAACGTTTCATCAGAAGACATCTGATATTTTTTTGGGGGTAAACAAAAAGTCTATCAGTAAATGACAATATTTTTAACTTACCAGCACCATCCCAAAAGCACTCACCAAACATGACTAATGTTCAAATACATAAGATATGATGTGATAGTGAACATGAAATATCATTCAACCATACAGCATTCCTTGAAACTGATTTCAACATGATTGCTCAGTGCATTGCCTTTAGAATGGTTTCTATAGTAATCCAAACAAGAATGAGTATACTCACTAGAACAACTGACCGAGTTGAACATCTTGTTTCAAACTTGGTGATGACGTTATTGAGATATTAAACATTAATGAAATAACTACAACTGTTTTGGGGATAGTTGATAAAACAACAGAGCTCTTCACGGAACACAGATTAAGAGTTTTTAACCAACAAAAAGGGATATCGTATCAGAATTTCATGAGGAACTTGATGCAAAGTGTAAAAGGATGTGACGGCTTCTGATGCTGGTGTTACTGTAATTTACTTAAAGATTAAATCCAAAGCTACATATTTCAAAGAAAAATCAATAGGAAGTCATGGAAAAAAGAATGATAACTTGACTTGGAGCAACTATACAATATTATTACAGGAACAAAGAAGCTAGGAAATCTGTATGCCATAACTTGTACCTTTATGATGTACTAATGGGCAGCATCAAACATGATGTTTTTTAAAATGGAGTCCATCCTGATGTGTATAAAACATGAATTAAATAGGCTGCTGTGTTAAAAAGCAAAATTTCAAAATTTATACAAGCATGGAAATTTAAGTTTAGTTACGAGACGCAGTAATTTTATTGTTTCCAAGCTCTAACCAGCTATTCAGAACCAGTCGTATTCCCTGCAAAATTATGATATGCCATCTTTTATTTCAGTAAGGATAAACTGATTAATTCTTATTTAATTTATATACAAAAGAAAAAAGCTTGTTTCTGCATTGCAATGAAATGTCAGACTTCAGAGTTCAATAGCACAGCTTGCAAAGATGAATAGAACCAGGGAATAAAATACATTTGAAGATATTTCCGCAACAGTAAATAAATTCAATGAGTACGTTGGCCAAACAAATGATGCAAAATTTGAAAAAAGGAAGTTGACAAATCAGAAGATTTAGAATACTTCTTGTACAGCATTCGAGCACTTCTACTTCAATAATTCATTTATTTATGTATTGGAAACAGTAATGTCACTCACTGTAAATCCTAGGACCTATTGCTAGATTTGGAATATCAAGACAAAAACTCAAGTTACAACAGAAATCTGGAAAAACTGGAATGAAGAAGTGAGTGGTAAAAGAGTATGAAAAACACCAACTTGGTGGTTTCTTATTGGGTATTTAAATAATCTCAGAAAAACTTTGAACTGCATGCAAAGAAGCTAGAAAAGTCATGTCGAGGATATTAACTCCAAAAGATTTACTGTAAAAAAAAAAAATATATACATGCTATCCACTGCAAAGCAAATTGTTGTACAGTGACAAGGGTTTTAAACATTGCAGATGCAAAACAAGAGCCGTAAAAGAGGTACATTCATTTGAAAAAATTACAGAATACCTATAGCATTTCAAGTATAATAGGCTTGTCATCCAAAACATGCAAACCTCAATGTTTGTGTGTGTGTGTGGGGAGGGGGGGCAGATACTACATCAGAAGGCCCTGTTAACCTAAACCACTGGGAAATAATGTATTTGACAAACAAACAAGTAATTTTTAGTTAATTTTGACACTGAAATAGGAATGAAACTTGATTACCTTATTTGCAGAAAGTTTCAAAGACATAGTAATAGATGGATTTCACTCAGATTTGCAAATAAAAATTATAATAGCCAATTTGAAAACAGTCGCAAGAAAGGACAACTGATTTGATACTGTACACGAATGACAGGAACTAAATAATGATATTAAGCATCAATCTAATTACTACATCATATTGAAGCTCAGCCATTGTTTCCCTTGTCAAAACAATGTACAGATCTTGTGTCCCTTATTCTATCAATGTTCTTATTCAATTATTTTAGGTTTAAACTTTTGATGAAATATTCAAGTTTTTGGCCACAATGTTTAAACAGTACTACAGGATGTGGTGATGTAAAAATTTATCACCATATTTTAAAGATTTTGGCTTGGTTAAGTTGCAAGTTGAAGGTTAACATAAATGTATTTTACATATGGCTATTTTGTGTTCTCTCACTGATCATTTGTTCTTTATATAGTGTTAGCCTTTTCAAGGACAAGAGTTAAAATAATTCTTTTATTATTAAAATACTAGCAGAGGCCCACAAAACATTTGTGGTCAAATTATTATCTTTATTGCAACAGTACTTCCTTAAATACAGGATTTCTAGAATAATACAAAAGAATTCTAATCACAGACATTAAAATCTTTTAAGTCCACTTGTTTTAAGCCTAACATTAGTTAAGCCTTTATTAAGTATGGCCTATATTCAATAAAGTTAATGCTGTACTAGTGTATGTTTTTTGCTTTAGTTTAGTTAGGGTTAAGCTTTACCATAGTTAATACTATATGTTTATATGTTATTCCATGACCTAACCTTAGAAATTTTTGAAAACTTTGATAAAACTTTAAATGTTGTTGTACAAAATGTCTATTAAAATATATTTACATCTGTCTTTTGTTTACATCTGTTGAAAAAAGTGTGCACTCATGCGCATTTAGATAGTAAGGTATGTGTGCATTTTCAGGACAGACAAAAACTGAGTATTATTATAGTAGATCAAAATTTGATTACATTTCAGTATATGTGTTTTTACATAACTTTGTTTTATAAACATTCATTTTTTCTGTTATTTTTGGTAAATGAAGTTTTATCCTTGTTCACAAAAGCAGGAGTTTAATATTTTCTCATTTGTTTTAATAAAACAATGTTAAAGTATCACTAGAGTCAAAAGGATCAAACAAATTAACACCATTTTAACTAATTATTTTTTTTCATCTAAATCACAATAGAAATATTTTAGTTTTAAATGTACCTTTATGCTCAAATAAAAAGGAATATTCCCAGTTTCTTCACTTTTCACAAACATGCCCTCTGTCACATCAATAAGGAAAATCAAGCTGTCTCGTCCAGTCTGAATGTGGCATATTATATTACTTTCTCAAACTGTGATGTAAATGAGACAGTATATACTCTGAATAGCATGTTGTGTTACATTCCCCAAATGTATTTTTCAGTATTCAGAGTATATACTGTCTTATTTACATCATCCTTAAAGTAACAAACTACTTACTTAACTCCAATAAAAACTACTTATATTAACCTGAAACCTTTTCTTAATGAATAACGATGTTATAAGTAACAAAATGTCATATCTATTCCTCTGTATTTGTGTTTATAGGTGGGGTGTGTGTGGATATACTAAGGTTTAAAAAAACATGTTAATGTTCATATCAATTTAAATTCTGTTTGTCAAACAAAGCATAACTTTAGGATTATAAGATTTTGTCTATACTATCCTAGCTGGTTTGTTCTACCTTTTTTTTCTCCAGTTTTTAAGTTAATAAAGTATCAATTTTAATATCATACAATACAATTTTTTCTCTAAATAAAGTGGTAGACAACGTGTATTTTCTTAGAGAAATTCACTCTAATAGTGTTTGTAACATAAGTATGTTTTATATCCTTTTATTGGCTTATCTGTTTGCAAATGAAAATTGTTATTACTTCTGATTTAAAGTTAAACGTTTTTATCAGTTCATAACAACAACAACAAAGTATGAAGTTGTTTTTATACAATATGTTAAGTAGTCAACACTCTCTAGTATTTGATTTTGAAAACACAGACAAATTTTAAAGAACTTCTTAAAATAATTCACATGATTTTAACATATTTAGAATATTCAATATAAAACTATTATAACTGTACATTTGATGCTTCACTTTCTTCCTCTTCTTCATCCTCGTCTGGATCTCTCCAATTTCCATCCATTTACAAAGCTAAGAATAGCAGCCTGTTCACCAAAGAAAATAAACATTACAATAATTTAATAAATTCTAAAACGTTTAGAAATACAACAAAAATATCTTAAATTGATCAACTACACACAATATTTAAACTTATTAATAACCACCCTCTAGCTAACTACCATTTAAACATTGGCTTAGGAAAAGCAATTATCTTTACAAACACTTAAACAGAAATTTCTATTAATGTAAATAAAATAAAGACCTATACCTCCAGAATATATCTATTTGCTCACTAGTTTGTCATTACAGCTTCATCAGGATATAGACATCCTACAAGTTCACTAATCCAGCTGAAATTAAATTCGGTTTCAACAGGACTAGTGATCTTGTAAGTTAATCATTATTTCCTTATGAAGCTGTATGAGGTAATAAAAACAAATTCTGGCAATACATGGTTTATTTTATTTACATTAATAGATACTAGAGAGAAAACTATTATAAACTTTTTTTTATTGCTTGTGTTATTATGTATTTAAATGCACAAAATTTATAATATTTAAATGAGTGCTTTCGAATAGTTGACTTCTGAAGAAGAATAGTCAACTATTCAAAAGCGCTCGAGTTTTGGGTCTCATTTTGAAAATATATCAACATTTGTAGGTGATCCTGTGTGCTAACTAATTAAGCTGGATTTATAAAATTTAAAGGTAGTGTTGTGTAATTAAAGTAATACAAACAGTTAAGTGACCTGCTTAGATTACTCACTAATGGCTATTTGGAGTGTCTCAATGATTGCAAGGTTAAACCTATTCCACAACATGTGATACCCGTCAAACACCTCTAGTACAAAAAAAACAACTTTGAGCCAAATGGTGACAAACCAATCAACTTATCTAGTAAGAAATATCAGTTCTAGTAGTGACATTTTCAAAGCCTATGTGCCAGAGTCATGTATTAAAACTCAACATAGTGACAGTACCCATAATCTAAGTGCTTATAAACAAATGAAGAAATTCGCACATAAAATCTTAACACATAAACTGAAATTATCACTCGTATTACCAATACACACTGCTAAAAAAGAAGACAAAAAGTGTAAAGAGTGCTTAGCTATGTAAATGACATATTACATTTTTCTTTACTTTCACTCATAAGGCCTTTTAAAAAATAGAAAAAATATATCTTTATAGAACTAATATTCTAACATCAGATCTTTAGCTTGGAATATTTATGAAACATTTTTATAAATAATGTATAATCAAGCAAGTTGTACCAAAAGGACCAATTCCTTACTGGTGTAATATAAAGGAAAAAGTATGAAATAAAATAACTTTTTAATGTACCTTACAAGACATAATTTGGTGCACTACCACGTGGATTGTGCTTCTTGAAATACAAGAAAAGGCACAGTGACATAAAGCCATTCAACCAACTTAGAACATCCTTAACCCATTTACTGCAGCTTCACTTATACAGGTCAGACTTTTTTTCTTCTGTACACTGGGGCTGTGCCGTATATGGGAGTTCATTTTAAAAGTTGCCCTCGTGAACTGGTAAGAGGTATTTGTGAATGTTGAGGAACTCTACATCTACCAAAGCATTGTTATGGAACAATGGGTTAATCATATTTATCTACCCCTCACAATATATTTATAAAGTTATTTGCACTAAGGAGCACAGAAAGACTAGGACTAGAATTTACATGCCAGACTTTTTACAGTCTTGGAAATTAACTTTTAGGATGTGTGGGAACTTTGTTAAATATTAAAATAGGGGCTTGAGCCTAAGAATACCAATGTCAAGATTTCTGTTGAAGACTGTGAAATGGCTGAGCTTTTAAATATTTTTTCTGTTCTATGTTTACAAGAATGAAAATTAACAATATTCCTAATTATTAGCATTCCTTGAGGAACACTGGAATTGGCCTGAATCATGTAGATATTAATTCCTTATGGTAAGTAAGAAAACTGATTAATTAACAATAAAATATCAGGATTAGAAACAATTTTTCCCAGGGTTTTAAAGGAAATAAAATATCATATATGCGTGTCCCTCAATTTCATTTTTGGAGACCAGAAGACAGCGAGCAGGTGTCTGTGAACTGGAGAGTTGTTATTTCTAACAGTTGTCCTGGAAATTACAGGTTAATTACTCTTCTTTCTGTAGTGGGAATAATTTTAGTGTCTGATAAAAAACATTTAGTGAAATATGATGTCATAAAGAAAGCCAACTTGGATTTACTAAAGGAAAACCTTCTCTTACTAATTTTTTTCTTTCTTTTTTTCAAGGATGGTACTTAGTTATTTGAATGATGTAAAAGGTATGGACTTGGTGTTCTTAGATTCTCAAAAACTTTTGATAAGGTAACACACAAAATATTAGCTAAGAAAATCATACTGATTAATGTGGAAAGACCAATTAGTTGAACTGTAGGGTTGTTTGATGGAGAAAGCGAAAGGTTGTTACCAATGGTGTTCAGTCAAATCGAACCCTTGTTACTAGAGCATTGCCTAAATGGTCAGTGCTTGCCTAATATTTCTTACTTACATTAATGGTTTTGATAGGAGCATAATTAATAAATTAGTCAAGGTTGCTGATATTAAACTCTTGGGTAGCTGTATTGAGAATGTTGAAGTATTACAAGTGTTGAATCAGTTGGTATGTTAGATAAATATTTGATAAATGGCCTTTAGTTATAGTTAGAGCAATTGGGTTATCATAATTTGGATCAAATTTAATACAGATGGAAACTCATTCAATTGCATAACTAAAGAAAAGGATCTTGGCATGGTGGTGCATAACTTACTCAAGCCATCAAAGCTCTGCTGCTATTGTAGTAAGGCTAAGGAAATTTATTAGGGTCAATTTATAGCCATATTGATTACAAGTCAAATGAGGTAATTATCATTCTATGTCACAAAATGATAGATAGGCCTCACTTTGAATACTTGTACAGTTTTGGTTGCCTTATGTTGATCAGGGACGTCTAGGCATTTGCCACATATGACTTATACTTTTCTCTACCAGCAATTCACCTAAGTGAAAAACTTTATTTAGTGACATGGCACTAAGAGAGAAGTTCAAACTCAAAAATGTCTAAAAGTTGTTATTAATTGTAGCAATCACAACTATACGTTGCCTTCCTTTCATGTATTTCCTTTGACAAAGGAACACACCTGAACACAGATAAATGGATAAGTTCAGTGAAGAAAATGAGAAAAGACAACTGCTATTGGAGTTCACTCAAGTAAGATGGTTTATGTGCCCAACATTTTGTTACAAGTAGACACGGCTTATTTATATATTTTTATTGCCTTATAATAATTTATTTATAAATGAAAACTATAAGTCATTGAGATAAAAATAAAGTATTATCATACAGGACAGATAAGGTATTGATTTTAGATTTATGGATTTCACAGAATCTGTCCTAAAGTCTCACAGAGCATGAATCCTGTTTCTTCCTACATAACCAACGAGCTAAATAAATTCTTTCCCATGATAAAATGTTACCCTTTTGTATTTCATTTATATGAACTATAAATCAGAATATTTCTGTAAAATATAAATGCTTTCACCTGGTGAAAATTCCCAGCAACTATTACTGTATTATGTAACTGAACTAAACAATTAAGTCACACAAGTATTATTAGTGTTGTAATTATCCAAATGTTTATGAATTTTGTTTTGTTTGTAAATATGGGGAAGCCACATCCAGATCCAATACATATTGATTATGTCCCCAGCATCTTTCCACACAAATCTGTAGCAGTACTTCAGTCAAAGTTTAAAAACATTGAAAGGTATAACATAAACAAGAAAAGGAAGGAAAAAGGAGACTGCTCATCACATAACAACAAAACACCATATTCAACATCAGTGGTTTAGTGGGTGACATCCATTGCAACCTCAGACATCAGCAAAAATATGTCTAACATTTTAATGGAGATCTGTCCTGATGATTATGATGAAATTAGGATACAAACACATCAAACGACAGTTCAGTTGCTAACAAAGCAACATTCATACAACATGATGGAATAACAGAGAGGGATATTCACACTTCTTGACAGCAAAACCAGTGATGAAAACATCACACAAGTAAGCTTTCTGAGGATGGAAAGAGATGAAACCAGAGATTGAGTGCATGAGTTAAATGGAACTAAACTGTCAGCAACAACAGTTTGAAATGACAGAAAGTCAAAATTATATACTGGTCTGAACTGGAATGTTTTCTTTAATGCTTTCATCTTTCTGAATCAATTTTCTCAAAACAAGATAAAGGACAGTACGCCATTTATTGATTTTTTATTTTAACATTACTGAAGCTTTGATTCAATTTCATTTTTGAATTTTTAGCATATCAAACAGGCTATGGAGAAACTACTATCTGTGAATATTTCTGGAAATAGATTGATATCATACATACAAAAATAGGATTTTTACTAAGAAAGCATGATAGAGAGAATGTACATCAGACCATCCCACCAGAAATCAAGAGCAAGTTCCCAAGACTTACTTCAATAGCTGACTACTTTGGAATATTTGTTGATCAATCCCAATCAGTTCTTGCTTGAGTACAGACTTACTCATGATACATGTCTCACTCTTCTGCAAAAGTTTTTATCAGTTGCACTCCTTTAGGAACAGTTTCTTTTATATCTAAAGTGTTGGTGGACGAGCGTCAAATTCAGTTTTGGTAAGATGAAGTATATTTAAAGACACTAAACAAGACCAAATACTTGATAATACTAGATTCACACTATATAAGGACTTTACAAGCGTGTGTATGTGAAGTAGAAATTATTATTCCCTCTTTTACAAAAGGTAAGGTTCAGCTCTCTTCTCAGGAAATTCAAGTTTCATTTGCAAAATACAATAACCACAGTAGAAAATTACACTTGATATACAATACTGCAATCTAAGCCACCAAAAAGGCACATACAAGCAATATTTTAACAGTATTGCATTTGCGAACATCAAGTACTTAATCCATAAACAATGTTATGTTAATAGCAAATGGGCCTTGAAGTATATGGTATTTGTTCTACACTAGCCCAAGGATACATTCAATATGGAACCTACTGCTGGACATTTCACAAATCTTTTGTATCAATACAATACTTTAAATTTGTCTTATTGTTTTAATATACTTTGTCTAATAATGCTAATGAACTTTTGAAACAAGGAAATAAATACTGTTAATTAGTTCTACAAAACTATATCCATTACATTGAATAAGAGTGATATAATTTTAATTTTTGGCCAAAACTTTGATGTCTAATATAACGTTTTGTGCTTAGCTGTTGTTTAATGTTTGATATATCATTCTGAATAAATGTTGCATCACTGTTTGGTGTCCATCAATAAAATGTTGTGATATTAATAAATATACACGAGTAAAAACTTACTATTGGTTATGATTTATTTTTGTAATTAAGAAAATATACACAAGTTCAAATAAATCTTAGATATACTATGCAGATAAATGGAAACAAAAACATTTTGACAGATACCTATTTGTAAGTTTCTGAATGAGTTTTGTTACTTCAACATATATTCCCTAAAAATGAGACAAAAATCATGCTGACTAAAACTATTATATCCCCACCAAAAGCTGTTTTAAGAACTTAAAATTCACATTATATATAATCCCATAATGTTCCATGCTAAACTTGAAAGATAATTTCGAGTAAACATATCCAAGAATGTATAATAATATGCATCATGGCTGGGTTTTGAAAACAAAGTGAGATAATGTATACCTTCCACTGTTTTCACCAAACAATAATAGAAGTCTGAGTTTGTAACAGGACACAATGCCACACTGTGGTCAACAACTGAGTTAAAGATTCAACAAAAATGAGAGTCATAACTTATTAACTACAAGTAGGATGAACTACAAAAAAAATGTTGTTAAATCAATTTTCACAGTTATATAAATTAATGGAATTTCTTGCCTCGTGACATAGTAATTGCCAAATCAGTAAACAAAATCAAAAGTAAAACAGATGTCTACTGGTAAAATAATGAGATTAAAAACGTTTTATCCATTTGTATAAAAAGTTACATGGTTGTGCAAGTTGTAACGAGTAGATTACTAACAGTAATACTAGTAACAATAAATTGTTTACAAAGGTGGGCACAAAATGTTTATCTTACAAAGAGCTCAAAAAGTTGAAGGTTATGATACTAACTTACTGCCACAAACAGTTAATAATATAACAATAACATGTGCACTGTTGTTGTTTATTACAGTGCAGTCACAACTTAGTATCTAGTGCAGGGTTACCAACTTTTAGGAATCTGTTTGAGTGAGGCTTTTGAAAAACCAAAATTTTACCACGCACTTGTATGTTCATCTATATTATAAGAGTATGAGAATATTTATGGTTATGATTATTTACTGAATAATTCAGTATCAATGATACACCGGAACAAACTTACAAAGTCAACTGCCCATTTCACCTTTGTTAGTTTGTTTATACTTAGAGTTATAGATAAAAATAATCCAAACGTTAATTATATTAAAAATGGAGTAAGTAAGAAATATTGTTACTTTGATTATTTGGCTTAGACTTACTTTAATTTCCAAATTAACCTTCTAGTTTCTTTAACCTAAGATACGATCTAACACTAATAGCAGTTGTAATACAGCCTCGCACATGAGTTACATTCATGATCAATCTTCACGCCTAGCGCGTAGAACAAAGAGACCTCTCTCGGAGATAATCGTTATATGTATTAGATTTTTTTTTTCTCGTCGATATATTTATAAACGTTTCTGTTTCTCAGATAAATATATACTTGTTATATAATAATACAGCTTTACAAGAACCAGTATAAAAAAGCGTACAAATACCAATAGTTAGTTTAGATAATACCAATTAATAAAAAATCAATTTACGTTGATGAAAGTACAGCTGCTTATCACGGTAATAAATAGTTTATAGAATGGTTCTAGTGTTATTGTAAATATACAAAAAGTGATAATTAATATTATTCCAATCCATCCTTTTATCACTTTTGAACCGGCTTTGAGTAAGGTTACCAGTTTGACAAGATAAATGCACAAGATTAACAACAAAAGGAAAGGTTAAACCCCCAGCATTTTTTGTTTTCATTTTCTAAACCATGCATTTAAAAAGATGACTAATACAACTACGGACAAAATTAATAAACATCAAGTCTTTACCAGTTCAGTTAAATCATTCTGTGATTGATTCTGTTGTTATTAGCAGGTCCAATTATCTGACACATGTTGGAAAATCAGTTTTACCTGAAAATATCACATTTCTTCTAGACCGTCCTAATAATATATTGGAGAGATCAATACATTCCTGTATTCCCCGAAACCTCCAGTAACCGAACCTAACTGAACTTGAGAGGCCGGGGAGAAAGCAGCTAGTGAACAACACTTTCGGCCAACTCTTGGTCTGCTCTTGTCTAACTAAATAGTGCGATTTGACTATCATTATTCTAGGTTACCCACTTCCACAAAGTGCGGATAACGTTTTTGCGAGACTGAAATGCGAAATATGAACCTTTGGATTCACAGACTTGGTATGCTAACCACTTGGCCACAAATGGCCTCACGATGGTGAAGTAAAATTAGATGCGAGTGTTTAGAATTTTCCTAGTGTGTGTGTGTGAAATAGTGAAACTAGACACATTCAGTAAAAATACAATATTTATTACGAAACAAACAAAAGGAAAATGCAATGTACTACATGGACAGACAGAGTGACATTTGCTTCTACTGGATTGTCACCACAGCTTTCTTTCTCTAGGGGTAGACTTCTGTCTAGCTAACAACAATGATCTTAAAGAAAATCTTTACTCAAAGAACTCCAGGTAAAACTGATCTAAAAAGCATGCCTGGATTTAACAGGTAAGCTCAATTTCTTTGTATAGTCGACAACATCACTTTGTTCTCCCAGTGCATTATTTTGCTGTTACATTTCGACAACGTCAACTTAGCCAGCAAAGGATATTACAGTGTTAATCCTATCAACTTGGATGCCATATATTACTGCAATATCCTATCAGGCAGATTATACAGTATCTACCATAGAAAACAAAGAAACAAAGCAGTTAGAACATGGAAATCTCAATAATGTTCTGGATCATGTCTTTATGCTAAAACTGCATATAAAGTGAACGAACGAAAAAAGTTTGAAAATTCCTATATAACTAAAGCAGGTGGAAAAATATCATATGCATATTACACTTTTACCCCTTCTCTGTTTCAAGCTTGTCCTCAAGTTGCCAATTAAATTTAACTTTAAAACTAATAACCTGTAAACTTGTGACATGGTTAAGTAGCATATCAATCTTATTTCATTCCTAAATACATACACACGTCACAAATCCTTCAACAATGATTTACAACTAAACTACGAGAATAAAACCCTTTAAAATGTTTGTTTGTTTTTTATTCCATGCAAAATTACTTAAATGTTATCTGCATTAGCCATCCCTAATTTGGAAGTGATAGACCAGAGGAAAGGCAGCTAGACAACAACACCCATTACTAACTCTTGGGCAATTCCTTATCAACAGATATTGAGATTGACAATCACGCTATAAAGCGCCATGGCTAAAAGGCCTAGCACTTTTATGGACGGGATTTTAATTTGTGACTCTCAGATTACAAGATGAGTGATCTTGTAATCAGGCCATGCAAGGACCCTTTAAGAATGATTTTAATATAATTATATTAACAAAAAATAATACTTTGGCTTTAATTCTAAAATACAATATAATATAATAATAATAATACATAAAACCTTTCCATCGTGGTTTTAAATAGACAAGTAACTCATAATAGCAAAAGAAAACGAGTTAACTAAACTATAAAAGTAACAACACTTTATAAATATCAAACAGTGTTGAGCAGTGTTGGAAGGCAGATGAAATACATTACAATAATAAATGAAATAGTTAAATGAACATATTAAACATATCTTAAAAATAAGAACTCCAATATATTATGATGAAACAAACATCCTTTAATGTTCTTATAATGTAACGTGAAACAGAACAATAAAATAACTCTTTAACCGTAAATTACATAAAAATACACTTTAAAAGCAGTGCACAACTACCTAATCACATAAACACGAACTACAACTAAAACAAAAGGAAAAAGAAAGAATTAATTAAAATGCGGAGTCACACTGTCAATTTGAAAAATGAATAGACTAACGCAAAGAAACTAATCATGAAATTAAAAAAAAGGAAAATAAAACAGAATAAAAAACCCTTTAATAATGAAGCATTATAATTTCCAACTTTGATTTAGATCTTATACTACCCCTCATGAATGAGGCAGTCTAATGAAAAATTCTTATGAAGATAAAAAAGCAACACATTAAAATAACACCTGCTTTAAATATATAAAACACAAAAAAATAAACATTTATTCAATAAAAAGAATCACTGTATAAGAAAAATCAAATTCTTTCATTTTAAATGAGAATTAAATCATTCTTATATAAAGCCAAAATTATAAAATGAAATGATTGTGACTGCTTGGTTGAGCAGTTGCACATTATATTTACAATATGTACATCAAATAAAAGAAAAGAAAAAAACGTACACACAAAAAAATTCTAAATCCCTTCTCTTTCACGCATGCTGGTATGCATGAAAGTGCCAAGGCACTTCATAATGCAGTGGTCTCTTTGGATGTATGAGCATATTTGATGCCATCTTCTTTAGTAATTGTGCATCCTCTGATAAGACACATCATTGGACTAACCTTTCTTCAGGATTCATCTCCTTCTTCAGAGGTGTCAGTAGTGGCAACAACAAAGGCTGCTTGTTGGCCGGAAGGATAGGTTCCTCCAGAATCGTGGCTGGCAGTGCCATTGTTTGGTCCTTTTTACACTAGTCTCCTTAGAATTTGTGAGATCCTCTGCCTTTGAAGGTGGTAATAGAGCCCCTGGAGACTGTAAGGTCAACCCAACCGTAGATACTGTAAGCTCTCTCATGTCAGTTGTGTCAGCTATCAATGCACGTTAATCCATGGGCTTGAGCACCATATAAGTTAGACTAGAACTGGACATTACATTACTCAAGAAGAAGTTTTGTACATCCTGCAGAAAATCGATAGCTTCATAGATAGAATAACCGAGTAATTAAATGGCCTTTCAGGATGTGGGAAAACAGGAAAACTATTGACTAGTGACCATGTTCAAAACTTGACCTTAAATACTGAAAGTCTGTACTCCAATGCAAATGTTGATTGAGTTCTAATTGGTTAAAGATTCAGCCAAGTACATAGGTTAGGGGCATTATAATGTTCAGTTGTGATTGGGAACTAAGTATTGTTGAAATGACACATCTACAGGCTTAAAGTGTACTCACACCTACCCTAGGCCATAGAACATGTGCCAAGAAAAACTTGTTCTATTCTTCTTGTCTTATTATTTATTGCCATTCTTTCATTCTGTGTGTTTGTTTCATTTTGTTTTAATTTGTTTAAAACATCTATGTAAGACTCTGTGTAATGTTTTTAACACGCACATGATGCCACATACTTATCCACCTTTATGCTTCGTCAAATAATCTAGTAGTATATAGAGTTCATTCCAGCTGCTGCATGAACCACTTCATTTTAACTCATTTTAACATAATATAATGTTTAAGGACAACAAGGGACATATTGTCAATCTAGGCTGTCCCATCCTCTAAACTAAACTAAAACTGTTAATAAAAAACAACCTCAAAGTTAGCCCTTATCTATATATATATAAAGACGAAATGTGTGTTTGTTTGCACCCTAACTCCTCTACGCCTATTGGGCCAATATTAACCAAAGTTTGCATGTAAACAATATGAACTATGGGGAATGTCCTAAGGGGGTAAAACTGAACTTAACCCTATTTCTATTTTGTAACGCCTGTTGGTTAATTACTCCGACCCTATTGAGTCAATCTCAAACAATCTCGGTAGTTTGAAGCTTCAGACAATGTTGAATATTCTAAAGGGATTCAAAGTCAAAGTATGAAAGTTGCTGGATTGTTTCTCAAACAACCATGCTTTTCTCACGATCAATGAAATGTAGGGTGGGATCACCTCAAAATCTTTATTTTTTGGTAGATGGAAAGCAAACTGGAAATGTTGTTATGAAGATGCTTTGTTATAATTTCAAAATTTTGAGATAAATTTTATGTTCAAGTTATTACTTTGAAATATACGATTGCTGTTAAACTTACATTGTTTTAATGTCTAAACATTCCCCGTCAGTTGGCGGGTATTTCAACTTGGCTCCACAACATCCGAAGGCAACCCGTTCCAAAGGCCAACCACCATGTTAGAAAAATAAAATTGTCTTAGCTGAAGATGACTCCTACACTGCCAAAAATTTATATTTGTACTCCCTAGTCCTAACATTCTCACCGTTAATTATGACAATTGATGATGCATCAACACTATCAATCCCCTTAACAATCTTAAACACCTGAATCAGATCCCTTCTAACTCTTCTTTTTTTCAAGGGAAACAATTTCAAAGATTTCAACTTCTCCTTGTATGACAACCCATCCATCCCAGGTTTCATTTCAATAACCCTCCTCTGAACCATTTCTAACAATTCAATGTCCTTTATAAGATAAAGAGCCTAAGACTGAACACAATACTCCAAATATGGCCTAACCAGTGACCTATACAATGAAATTATAACCTCTTTAGCTTGTACTCAGTATTTCTGTAGATACAACCTGAAATCCTATTTGCCCTACCACAAGTAATAGCACACTGCTTGGATGGTTTTAGAGACTGATCAATTATTACACCAATATCCCGTTGTTCCATAATACTGTTAAGATTATTCCCATACAAATTATACTTATAATTCTAATTATGATAACCCACATGCATTATCTTGCATTAATTATAACTAAAACCCATCTGTCATTTATTTGTCCAACCCACTAAATGATCTAAATATTTTTGTAAAGCAGCAGCATCCTCTTCACAGCCAGCAACACCCAAGACCTTAATATCATCTGCAAATTTAAGTAATTTATTGACTATTCCTTCATATATATCATTGATGTAAATAACTAAGAACAAAGGACCTAAGACTGAGCCCTGAGATACCCCACTTGTGACATTAATCCAGTTTGACTGAACTCCATTCATAACAACCCTCTGCTTTCTTCCACCCAGTTTCTTATACTTCTAGCATTACCAAAGTAACAATTAAGCCTACCATTAGAACTACTTCTGTGCACAGTTCCTAGGCTAAACGTTTCTCTACATCTTAGTTTTTCTGCATTTAGTTTATCTTGGCCTCACCACTGTCTAGTTCTAGTTGAAAACTTCTCTTACAGATGAGTTTATAGCCCTTGCATACAACCCAGCTTTTACCCTATCTAAAAGTAAACCATCCATCCCAAAAAGCTCCTTCTTCCCGTTAAAATGATCCCACAAGTCCAACCAAACAATCTGATCATCCTCACATATTGACCTACTTATAATTTCATCCTCATAATTAATTATCGGCAGTACCTCTGACACAATTAAGTTATGGCCCTATTCTTTAGATGCTTTTGTCAACCCTTTGTACTTATCAATTAGCTCCTCTGACCTATCTTTCCATACATCATTAGCCTCACGTGCACAACAAAAACTTCATCATTGCTAGCCCCTTTATTATATCTCTTGCTCTGTCAATTATATCCTCCACCTGTGCCTCTGGGTAGCATAATATAATTCTTTTCTCCCTATTTACCTCACAGACTATCCTATCCACATGCCTTGTCAAAGAATCACTTGTAATTATAACCTTCTTAAGTTTCTCATCCACATCCTTCTCTGTCCCTCTTCCCTCCAATAGTTCCTCATCTGCACAAGCTAAAGTCTGAAATCTGTTGTTCAATAAAATAGGCTCATTATGATTAAATCACTACTTTTAGCCATAACAGTACTCTTTCTAACTTCCTGAAAGTTATTGTTACCTGATGTATCCCTTGCATGTAAAAGCTTTAAGCTCCTCTTGAAATCCTGCTGCCATTTCCCACAGTTTACACTTCTTTTTATCTATTGCCTCTATTTTAATTAGGATAGCCTGTAACTTCTCCTCCAACCTACAAACTATACATACAAATTGCACATCTTTACAACAATATCTTCCTTAAAAGTACATAACAGTACCAAGTTCTCAAATAAAACCCTCAAAGGTTAGAGCTGAAAATTTCTATTGTTTCAATAAATGTCCAATAATATTTTAACAAAAAGAAACCCATTAAAAAATCACTTTTCAAACACTATTAGGTTATTTTAATAAAATTCCTGTTTTAGAAATCATCACAAAATATATTAAGATCTATTATTTCATGATAAAGTATTTTTAATCAAGCTTACCATAAGACACAAAATTTCACATTACTATTGACTATGGTAAACTTACCAATAATTTTTAATGTGATGATTTATCGAAGGTTGAAAGGTAATATAAGTAAATTAGTAATTTTAAGATTTTGAAAGCACTTTCCTAATTCTCAAAATGGAAATGCAAAAAAAATAAACAAAGAAACATAAATATATACATCAGATTTGGTTGAGATATTTTCACTGTCATAATGCATATGTATTATTGCACAAAATAATTTAACTAAATTACATTTGTTACCCAATTCTTGTTCATTAATTAAAATTGTTTGAGAAATTACGAAAAATAACAACCATAAATAAAAATATTCAACTTTGGGATAAGGTGTTTATGTTGTACAAAAGATTTAAATATTAATTTTGTCTTAGACATTGTAGAAATGTTTCTGTTGGTTAATTGCTAAAGACATCTAAATTATACACATTAATCTACATTATATTTATCCCTATTTATGTAACTTATAAACATCAGTATTTATTTTCTACTGTATTTTTTACTTATTTTTGTCTTGAGAGTTCTGTATTACCAGTATACATAATTTTATAAGACAATTCAAACAATTCCGTAAAGGTCATTATTGGCACTTTATTAATTATTTCTATACAATGTGCATATTTTGTCTTTTATTTTTAATCTTATAAATAATATTGTAGAACTTTACAAATTAATGTTTTTTCAGTTTTTGATAATTAAAATTTATGTTTCATTACATGTTTTTACCAGAGGTTGAGAAAGCCAGAGAAAGTAATGCTGCCATTATTGCTGGTGTGATTGGAGGAGTAGTAATTATATTAATCATAATAGTCATTGTGGTAGTAGTAGTAAGAAAGAAAAAAGCTAAAGAAAGAGTGGAACCAGATGTGGTAAGAAGTTATTAGTTTTAATATCCTAAACTTATAGTAACTACTATGACTCTGTCACTAATTCAAAACCACTTTTTATTAGGTAAAACAATGAGTATATTTCCCCCAAACTCCTGATTGCTGTTTTCATTGTATAATGTTAGCCCTTGATTTGAACCAGGATATGACTGCTAACCTATTTCTTAAAAGAATATATAAGCCAGATCTTCTCAGTTCTTGTTCTTCTCAGTTCTTCTGTCATTATTTCTGGTCATGAAACTTTGTTGTATTTCTTCTATATGCTCTTAGTACAGATGTTATTAACTGATATATAGATGTTTGTTACATAGTAATAGTTGAAATTTTTTATTAGCCTGTGATGAACACATTGAAACCAACATATCGAGAGTTTACTTATGCACCAACATTACCTGAAAAGAAGAAGAAAAATTCTTCAGCATCATCTGTGGATAGTGGAATGAGTTCAATAGGGAGTAGAAATTCTTCCAGGGTGAGCTACCAGTCATCATTATCTTATGCAAGTCCTATTCCCAACCAAGATGTAATTATAGGAAAATCTGTAGCTCCTCCAGATGTGGTAAGTTTATTTAACTTGAGAGTGACATTGAAGAACTTTATCTAGAACATCCCTAGAAATCACTCGTGTCTTGAATACAGCTGCATCTGTTGTAAATCTTCCACTTATTTTAAAGTTGTGATCAGAACCTTAAATATCAACATTATTTTAAGCTATACGATGATCTATTAAATACAAATGTTGTGCCAAAATAGAATGTAATTTTAAAATAGGTTTAATTAAGATTAAATATAATCACATTAAAAAGAGTCATAATTAATTGGAAACTAGAATGATAATATCTTCCAAAAGTTTACTAACCTCTGATTTCATTTTTAGGAAATTATTCAAAGATGGTGTTTATGGATCACATGAAATGCTTACTGCCTTCATACTAAGAAACAGTTTTTGAAATATTAGGCTGTTGTAAATATTGTGAATTTAATGAATAGAATAAGAATTATGGTTAATTCTTGAACTGTGAATGAAAATACAGTTACAAGATAAAAATATAAAAAAGTAACTTTTTTTGTTGATCCATTACATTTAGCAAGAAGTATTTGAATAATTAGGTCTTTAGTTGAAATTCAAACAGAGAAAGATTGG